GGCACTGGGAGTGACCAAGTAAAGAGTGTTTAGAGCCTGTCCCAACCCAGAAGAAAGAAACCCACTTGCCCCAACAAAGCAGAAAAGGTCATCTGAGGAAAATCAGCAGGCATTTGAGTAGATCTTAGGGATATCACAGAAAGGATTCCTCAAGGCCATTACAACTCCAAGCTGTGATGATGATTGTGGGGATGATGAAGATGCAGAAAATGAGGAAGATATGGATTAGGTATACTAAAAGTTGTTGTTGTTGTTTTAATAATCTCACGATCTGGTCAACGTCACAACGCTGGTGTGAAATTCATGAGCCAGCTGACAAGGGATAATTATATCTCATACAATTAGTTGTTAAAAGAAATTCAGACATGTATCTTCCCTTGCGTTAACTGCTTTGGGGCTAACTTACTGATTTCCATGCTGGCATGCGGAAACCTGTCTACGATTGTGTTCCCATTCTTAGGTAGTGCTCTTTGTAATACAGATATTCTGTAGTTTTTTCAGGAGTGAGGGTGACTTCTCATGATTCTTTGGGGAAATATTCAAGTTTCCCCTCCAGACACCAAGCAGGTTGTCAGCAAGCAGACAGAGGTCTCAGTACTGGGGAACAGATGGAAAATCATTGCCCCGAAGCAGCAGTGAACATGCACTCTCTGAGTAGTGTTGCACTTCCCCTGTGGAGCTTGCCAGCTGCAGGACATTGCTATTCCCCACATATTAGCCATAACACGGAGCAGTCCATTAAGTCTAAAACCCCGACCACACCAGAAGTAGGCAAGAGAATAAAAATCATGCAACTGTTGATGGTGACTACCGCACCAACCACAAGTTGGACGGATTTTATTATTTCGTTGACCTGACTCAAACCTTCTCTTGCTATTGGGGATGTGGAGCCTGCAGTATTGCCAGAATTTTATTTACTTATTTCTTTTATATAATTATGGAATTTCAAACCAGGGATTACAAAGTTCCAAAGCCAGGCTTAGCTTTCTGTTCCCCTGACCTAAAAATGATCTGCATGCTGTGTCATCTATGGCAAGTTGCTTGACCTCTCTGGCATTGAGGGAAAATGTGGGGCTTAATTGAGACTAATTCTTCAGTTATAAAGATCCTTTCCCCCTTCTAAATGAATTGGATTCTTCTTCATTTAGGGACTCCAAGATGGTTCAGAAAACTAGACAGGAATAGGGAGAGTGCCTATTGAGTGTTGGCCTTCCAGAAGCTTTTCAGGCTAAACAGTGAAATTACTGAGCCCTCTGGATAATCAAAATGAAGTTAGCACCATTCCACAGGGCAGCCTGGAGCAAACAACAGAAGGACATGGAGCACATGGGGCGATCATTGGGTTTCTCCATGTGAAATGAAATGCACTTGCTGGAGCTCTCTTAGGATGCTGTCTCTTCTAATATTCTGTGATCTTATTTTTTAATAGTTTTCATGAAAAAAGGAGGCAGGAAGACCCAGGTGAAACCTTTGTCTGTATCTCACACCTAACAAAAAACAGCGCAAGACCCTTCCATGACTTAAGTTTACTCATGAAGAAAGTCAATGTGAATTTGATTTGTGACATATATGGATGTGTGCTCTTCTGTTGGTCCAAGTGATGCTAGTTCAGAGGGAGGAGAGCTGGAGAGGCTTGCGCAGAGTCCCCATCCCATTCCCTTTTGCTGCAAAGGGAATTGTATTCACTCCTGGGCTCTCCCTGGAAGGTTGGAAGGAGGGATGGAGTTAATGTTCCATGAAGGGTTAATTAAGATACAGATTCCTCTTTAAAAAAAAAAAGATCATGTAATGCTTTATTTCTTCTCGCTGTCTTCCCTCAACCCAAGCACTGGTAAAACTTAACTGATCCTGAAGTCCACCTTTGCAGTGAAGTAATTTATTTTCCTTTTTTTTAAAAATTACAGTATTCTCAAATGAGGGATGAAGTATTCAAGTCAAACTTGGTGTGTGCATTTATCCTTCTTCTGTTTATCACGGCCATACAAAGTTTGCTTCCTTCTTCAAGGTAAGTTTTCAGATGAAATATCTCTGTGAATTCATGGTCCCTCACCTGGAGCCAGCCAGCTGATCTTTCCAAGGGATCAGAATTTAAAATAATGGGATCCAGGATCCACACCAAAATGCTTGACAATATCAGTGTCTATCCTGGTTGTCTTACTCTGAGTAATCCCATTGCTCTGCCCTGGCAATGATCTTGCCCATAATCATAATAAAAACAACAACCAAAATCAAAACAGGTCCCACTCTTTTTGACATTGCACCCATGAAGGCAGCAAGTATTTGAGCCTCTATCACCCTGGTTTTGTTCCTCTGTTCATCACCTCTTTGTTGTTCATAGATTCAGCATCCTAGGTTCCTGGGCCAGCAAAATTGGCACTTTAATCATACTGCAAACACCTATATGAGGCCAGTCACTGTTCCAAATACTTTACATGCAGTAACTCATGAAATCCTCATGGTAACACTATGAGGTAGGTACTGCTCTCATCCCCATTGTAAAGAGGAGAGGACTGAGGCCCAGAGTAGTGGGATACTTTGTACAAGGTCTCACTGTTGAAAATGTTATAGCCCAAATTCCAATCCAGGAAGTCTCATTCCAGAGTCTGGGCTCTTGACAGTCTCTCAGACCCAGACATATATTGTACAGGTCACAGGTGCCAGAGCCAGCATTTGAACTTTGTCCTGGGTCAGTCCAGTGGCCATGCTTTTTGCTCTTCCTCCACTTTAAGGAAGCTGCTGCCTCTTTTCTCAAGTAAAGTCCCTTCTCCCTAAACTTGCCTTGAATTTTCCCCTTTCATGTAATTGACACATATTTGTCAAATTCTAATACAGGTTGGCAATATGCCAGTCCTTGAAGGTGTATAATGTTGTAAGAGGAGGTCTGCATCCTCTAAGATGTAATTTAACAGGAGAGAGAGACATCATTGATGACGTCCAGTTAATGAGTGTGTCATTAGGGGGAATGTGCTAAATCCCTGCCACAGATTGTCTCAGCAAAGCCTCAAAGGCAACCAATAAGTGAGTGGTCACTCTTATTTCCATTTTTTAGATGAGGAATTACCTAAGGTCACACACCTATATAATGACTGAGCTAGGAATTGAACCCAGGATAGAGTCTGTGTTTCTAAGTACTTAGCTACTTTGTACAAAAATTACCATTTCATTCTGACCAGATGGCTTAAGGAAGAGTTTGTAGGGAAGGTAGTATGTTGAGCTGAGTGGGATGAGATAGAAAGAGTATGTGGAAGAGCATTCCCAGCACTGACAAAGGCACAGGGGTATGAAAAACTTTGTGTTTGTAGTGTAGAGGGCCTGTGGGAGAGTCTAGAGTAAAGGGTTTGTGTGAAGATGTGGTGGGCACCATGGCTGAAGAAGGAGTGAACTAACACAGGCTCTGTGTCTGCAATGATAAAAGGGGTTCAAGCTAGGGAACACTCCAAGAATGGCCATGCTTGACTTTCTCTGGATTAGCAGGGATACTAGGAGAAGGAGAAAGGGAACTCCAGGGACACGGTAGCAGAAGGTGGTGTATTTCTGAATCTCTCAAAATTCCCACATATCTGAAAAGCTAGATAGCAAAACCACTCGGTGGACTGTATTGACAATGAAAACAGATGAGATGATGCTCCATAAATTCCCAAATGGAAGTGGGTGGAGACAATCTCCCAGTAGCCACAGGATTAGTGTGACATCAGCATCCATGCGGGAGGAATCAGAAACAAGCAAGTAGGCACCTGTCATGTCTGGGAACAAAAGAACTCCAGATAGATAGAATATCTATCTAGCCAATAAATATTCACTGGGAAGTACCACAAGGCAAATTGAAAAAGCAGCTGGAAGTGAGGGAGTTTGTCCAATCCAGCACCCATTGAGTGCAAAGGCCTACAGTAGGGTCTGAAGAGCGAGAACTGTCACACACTGGGAACCTGCCACACCGACCACCCTGTCTCCCTCCCAGGATAGCACCTTGGAAGGATCTGTGTGGTGGTAATCAAGAAGATCCCACAGTCCACAGTAAGGACTATAGAAAAGAGGAAAAGCCAGGGTTGTTGTAAAAGTGGAAAGAGAATATAGCCATCACACTTTTGAACACCACATAAAAACAACTAAAGAGAGAGCTCTGGAGAGGTAAAAATTAATTCTCCTAAACCACACTATTTCTAGAAGTTCAGCAAAGTTAGTTTGACACAAAGGTGAGCAACAAAACATGCTAGTGGCAATCCCATGCTCAGCTATTATATGAAAAAAGAGAGGAAAAAGTAGATCAATGTCCTTACAGTTGATGAAAACACTCCAAACAAGCCCACAGCAAATATCAAACCTTTAATTTACTATTTCAAAAGTAATGGAAGCATCTCATGTGACTCAAGACATGAAATAACAACCTAAACCAGAAGTAGAAAAACTTAGAAATTCAACAAGAGAGCTCAGGAAGGAAATAAAAAGGAAAAGAAAGATACATTTCAGAAATGAAGACCTAAAAAGAAGGAACATAGAGCACATAAACACAGCAAGGGATGCTTTGAGAGGAACAGAAGGTGAGAAGGAAGAATTTATTTTTATTATTAAAAAGAAGAGTAAAAGGCAGAGTCCCCTCCCCCAACCTTCCCACCACACTGACAAGAATCCAGAATATTAATGGTGGACTATGGCTGAAAGAACTGCAAGACACAGACTCTTTCTGAGGAGGAGTTCTCAGAAGAGCCCAGTTCAAGAGGGAAGACAAAAACAAGAACAAGAGGGATTTGAAGCCACTGGTACCTGTATAGCTACTGCAAACACTAAATGTAGCCCAACTCCAAGGGAGGTTCACTGAAATCCTCATAGTAAAGATCAATTGGCCTCAGGTTCTCCAATCTGATACAATGTGACCAGTTTTCAGCCAAAAATTACAAGGTATCCCAAAAGGAAAGAAGAGACAAAGCAGTCATTAGAATCAGCCTCAGGGATGACAAAGATGCCAAAATGATCAGAAAAGGAATTTAGAATAACTATTTTTAATGTATTAAGAGTTCTTCATGAATTTGAACATCATCCTTAAGCAGAAGCCATGCTAATCTTCTCTGTGTCGTTCCAATTTTAGTTTATGGTGCTGCTGAAGCAACCACAGTATATTAAGTGTTCTAATGGAAAAATTAGACAGATAGGCAGCCTAAGAAGAGTGAAATTCTAAGAAAGAATCAAAAGCAAATGCTAGAAATAAAAACACTGCAACAGAAATTATGAATGTGTTCATCAGTAGATTCAACAAGGCCAACAAAAGAATCAGAGAGCTTGAATATAGGTCAGTAGAAACTCTCAAACTAAATACAAAGAGAAAAATAAGTGAAAAAAAGACAAGCAGGTCAGACCATTTAAGAACCCACTTAAATACAAAAACTCAAATATGTTAAAAGTAAATGCATGGAGAAAGAGATACCATGCTAACACTAATCAAAATAAAGCTGTAGTAACTATATTAATTTCAATCAGAGTAGACTCAGAACAAGAAAAATTATCAGTAGCAAAGAGGACATTATATAATGATAAAAAAAAAGTCAGGTCTCAAAAAGGACATAACAATATGTATGTTATGTCTTGTATCTGCCTACAAAGAGAGTGTCAAAACACGTGAATATTAACACATGGGCCAAAATAAAATCTCAAGAGAAATTTCAAAATATTTTCAACTAAGTGAAAATGAAAATACAATTTATCAAAATTTGTAAGAAGTAGTAAAAGCAGTGCTTAGAGGGAATTTATGACAATAAATGCATATATTACAAGAGGAATATCTAAAATCAATAATCTAAATTCTACCTTGGGAAACGAGAGAATGAAAGAAATTTAAACCTAAAATAAGCAGAAGGCAAGAAATCATATAAATTAGGACAGAAATCAACAAAATTGAAAACAGGAAAACAACAGAAAAAATCAACAAAACTGAAATCTGGCTCTTTGAAAATATCAATAAAATTGATAGTATCCTGGCCAAGTAAACAGAAGAGAGAGGCAGAGAAAGCAACACACACACAGAGATTATCAGTATCATAAGTGAAAGAAAGTGTTTTGCTACTGATCCCATGGACATTGAAATGATAATAAAAGAATACTACATACAACTCTAGGTCCATAAATTTGATGACTGAGATGAAATAGACCAATTTGTTGAATGAGACACAAACTATCTAAATCCATACAAGAAGAAAAGGTTAACCTGAATAGCCCTATATCTTTTTATTTAAAGATTTTATTTATTTATTCATGAGAGACAGAGAGAGGCAGAGACATAGAGGAAAAAGAAGCAAACTCCATGCAGGAGCCCAATGCGGGACTTGATCCTGGAACTCTGGGATCACGTCCTGAGCCGAAGGCAGACGCTCAACTGCTGAGCCACCCAGGCATCCCTGAATATCCCTATATCAATTAAAGAAATGGAGTTAATGATTTTAAAACTGACTAAGAAATAAAAGGTTGGAGAACCATTTACCATTCAAATGGTTCTCAAAATATACCCTAAAAACTACAGAACACTTCTGAAAGAAATTGAGGAAGACACAAAGAGATGGAAAAATATTCCATGCTCATGGATTGGCAGAATTAATATTGTGAAAATGTCAATGTTACCCAGGGCAATTTACACGTATAATGCAATCCCTATCAAAATACCATGGACTTTCTTCAGAGACTTAGAACAAATTATTTTAAGATTTGTGTGGAATCAGAAAAGACCCCAAACAGCCAGGGGAATTTTAAAAAAAGAAAACCATATCTGGGGGCATCACAATGCCAGATTTCAGGTTGTACTACAAAGCTGTGTTCATCAAGACAGTGTGGTACTGGCACAAAAACAGACATATAGATCAACGGAACAGAACAGAGAACCCAGAAGTGGACCCTGAACTTTATGGTCAACTAATATACGATAAAGGAGGAAAGACGATCCACTGGAAGAAAGACAGTCTCTTCAATAAATGGTGCTGGGAAAATTGGACATCCACATGCAGAAGAATGAAACTGGACCACTCTCTTGCACCATACACAAAGATAAACTCAAAATAGATGAAAGATCTAAATGTGAGACAAGATTCCATCAAAATCCCAGAGGAGAACTCAGGCAACACCCTTTTTGAACTTGGCCACAGTAACCGGAGAAGGACAAACAGTGTATGTTCTCATTCATTTGGGGAATATGAATAATAGTGAAAGGGAATATAAGGGAAGGGAGAAGAAATGTGTGAGAAATATCAGAAAGGGAGACAGAACATAAAGACTTCTAACTCTGGGAAATGAACTAGGGGTGGTGGAGGGGGAGGAGGGTGGGGGTGGGGGTGAATGGGTGACGGGCACTGAGGGGTACACTTGACAGGATGAGCACTGGGTGTTATTCTGTATGTTGGTAAATTGAACACCAATAAAAATTAATTTATAAAATTAAAAAAAAAATAAAACACCAAATCTAAATGGCTTCACTGATAAATTCTACCAAAGATATAGAGAAAAAATAATAACAATTCTACATAACCTCATCCAGAAATTAGAAGTGGAAGAACAGTTCCTAACTCATTTTATGAGGGCAACATTACCCTAATACCAAAATCCAGTAAAGATTTTGAAATAATGGAAAACTATAAACCAATATATTTTATCAATATAAACACAGAATTTCTCAATGAAATATTAGCAAATCAAATCCAACAATGTGTGAAAATAATTATACACTAAGACCAGATAGAATGTATTCCAGATAGGCAAGGTTTATTCAGCATTTGAAAATCAAACAGTGTAATCCACCCTATTAACAAGCTAAAGAAGAAAAATTGTATGATCACATCAATTGACGCAGAAAAAGCATTTGACAAAGTCCAATGCCCATTTAAAGTGAAAATTCTTAGAGAACTAGGAGTAGAAGGGAACTTCCTTAACTTGATAAACACAATCTACAAAGAACCTATGACTAGCATCATTCTTAGTGGTGACTGACTGGAACCTTTCCCCTTAATATCAGAAACAAGTTGAGAATGTACTATGTCACTACAACTACTTAATATCATATTACACATCCTTGCTAGTAAAATAAGACAACAAAAATGAATAAAAGGTATATGTATGGAAAAGGAAGAAATAAAACTAGGTGTTTCTGCAAATGACATGACTTTCTACATAAAAAAATCCCAAAAAATCCACCACAAAAAAACTAAAACTGGTGAGCAAGTGTAGCAAGCTCACAGTATACAAAGTCAATATATAAAAGTCAGTTGCCCGGGATCCCTGGGTGGCGCAGCGGTTTGGCGCCTGTCTTTGGCCCAGGGCGCGATCCTGGAGACCCGGGATCGAATCCCACGTCGGGCTCCCGGTGCATGGAGCCTGCTTCTCCCTCTGCCTGTGTCTCTGCCTCTCTCTCTCTCTCTGTGACTATCATAAGTAAATAAAAAAAAAAAAAAAAAAAAAAAAAGTCAGTTGCCCCCATATACCAGCAATTAAAAATTAGCATTTGAAGTTAAAGAAAATATTTTTAAAACACCAAAAGTTAAATACTTAAATATATATCTAACAACATAGGTACAGGATCTGTATACATAAAACTAAAAACACCAGTGAAATAAATTTTTAAAATATAAATAAGTTCAATGTTCATGGATTCAAAGACTTGATATTACTAAGATGCCAGTTCTTCCCAACTGGATCTAATTGTAAATTCAATACAGTATCACTCAAAATCCCAGCAAGCAAGTTTGTAGATATCCATTGATGAAGTTAGTTACACAGAGGAGGCAGCATAACCAATAAAACACCAAAAAACAAGCAAACAAAACTAGAGTATTTATACTACATAATTTTAAGATAATATAAAACTACTGTATTCAAGAGAGCGTGATATTAAAGAAAGAACAGACACCTAGTTAACAGAAGAGTGAGCCCAGAGATAGACTCACACTAATGTATATATAATCAACTAGTTTGTGACAAGGTGCACAGTCAATTCAATGGAAAAATGATTTTTTTTGGCAAATAGTACTGGAAAAATTGGATGTCCATATGAAAAACAAAAGAGCCTATACACAAACCTTGTACCTTTCAACTGGAAATGGTCCATATACCTAAATACAACATTATAAAATTTCTAGAAGAAAACATAGGAGAAATTTGTAATCTTGGGTTTAGTGGTGAGTTTTTAGACATAATGCCGAAATCATGATCCACAAGAGAAACAACTGACAAGTTGGACTTATTTAAAATTAAAATTTCTGGTGTGTGAAAAACACTGGTCAGGGAATGAAACCACGGGCCACAGACTAGAATAAAGTATCTGTAACTCACATATCTGATAAAGGACTTCTATCCAAGATACACAAAGAATTCTTAAAACTCAACAATAACAAACAAACGACCCAATTTTTTAAAATAGACAACAGCTCTGAACAAACACCTCACCGGAGAAGGTACAAGAATGTCAAAAGAGCATATGAGAAGATGCTCAATATAATTTTCTATTAAAGAAATGCAGATTAAAACAATGATGCTATACCATCACATACCTATTAACAATGATGAGGGCCAGAAAATAAGGAAGCATTAAAATACACACATACACAATGATGGGAGATTGTCAGAGGGACACAGGAATCCTCTGAAAGAGCTCCCAAGAGCCAAAATGGAACAACCTAAGGAAGAAAATAAATAAAATAGAATTGGGCTGTAACCCAAAATATAAAATAAATATCTATGGGTTAATCCTGATAGAAATAAATGATTCAATGAATAAATCAATTAAGAATAGATCAATCTCCTATTCAGAAAAATCCCATATAATTTATGTACTCTGTCCTCATTGGTGGAATTTAACTTCTCACTCCTATGGGGGGGATGTGGCTATGCTTAAAGTAACTTCCTTCCAAAGAGTACAGTATGCATGGAGGGAAAGCATGGAGAAACATGACAAATGTTCCCAGTCAGCTGATAAAAGTTCTCATCAACAGTGACGAGTCATGTTGGATGAGAATGGCACACAACCTCTGTGGTCTTCCTCTCAAAAACCCATAACCTAATCATGGTGGGGGGGGCTGTGGGAAATATCAGAAAGGGAGACAGAACATAAAGACTCCTAACTCTGGGAAACGAACTAG